GCTGAATATTATAATTAATATATTTTGTGCTTCAAAAATTTCATAATTCGAAATTATTTTCTGCATTGGAACCTGATAATGGAAAGATTACCAAAAACCCTAAACATTACAACCATTTCCATAGCAGTCTAACCTGTCACTCTCGTACAACAATTAACAAGAGCAGTGGCAAATTACATTACAGCCTCTAATCTATTGAACACAGACAAATAAGGGCAAGACTAGATCGAGGATGTTGGGATTGGCTTCCCGGTCGCTGTCATCGAGGATTTAGATCTTGAACCTCGCTCTAGCTCGTCGTCTCTGGTCTAGAGGAGGGACTAGAGGAATGGCCGATTTTACCCACCGCTGTTACTGGCCAGTATTGTCGCCAACGATTCCTTTTCCAACTTTCCTCTCCTCGTATGAAACCTCCACCAAAAAACTCAGAACGCAAAATAAAACGATTAGAATCCTAAAACACCCCCAAAACAAGTATCGGAAAAAAATACATGCATTAACCTTACCTCTGTAGCCACCATCATCGGCGTCAGTCTGTTCCGTCGGCCTCGTATTCCTTTCTTCTTCCTCCTCGTCATAACCAGAACAGAGAAAAGGCAAAGATAGATCTAGAGAGGGGAAAGGGGATTTTGATTTTTGTTTATCGCAAAGAGGCAGCGACAGATTGAGAAAGCTAGGGTTTCAGATTTCGTTTTTTCTTCTTCTTCTTTGTTTTGTTTGATCTTCCAAGTAGAGAGAACGATAGGGAGAGGTGAGGTTGATTGACCTTCAATGTACTGACGTCGTCATTTCCATCTCTGTCGGCATTCATCGTCGTCGTGCCCTTCGATGCCGCCGCCCTTTCGTCTCTCTTCAGTTTCATCTTTGACAGATGAGAAGGGAGGGAGATTAGGTTAGATTGAGAAATCAAAGAGGCAGATTGATTCGTTTTTTTAGAAGAGATGGAGAGGGGGGAAGTATCTTTGCTCGATCTGAAAAGGGGATGGAAAGAATAGATCGAAGATAAGGAGAGAAGGAAAGAATAGATAGAAGTTTGCTTTATTTTCTAGAGAAAATAAAGAGAGAAGTGAGAGGCCGAGCGGCAGAGATGTTAAGAGGAAAATGGTTAGGGTTTTTTTTTTGCTAGAGTTTAAGAGATGCTTATATACCTCTGGTCGTATAAAGCACGTATTATATTTGTATAACACATTTAACATCCGTATTTCATGAATTAAATTGTATCTTAAATATTATATAGATATTTATTTATTTTTAAATGATTGAATATATACTTTTTATGTTAACATTTACAGAACAAAGCTGAAACAACTATATTATGACGAACATGTCCTTTTGTCAGCTCGCCGTGGGACTATTGATATCTATTATAACAAAATACTTTGTCATTTAAACAATTCAGGAAGACATAATATGACAAATGCTACTCTGACGATATAATTTGTCACTTTTGTGTCTCTTACATCCCTATACGGGATGCTTATTTTGACAAACTTAACTGTGACACGAAATATTTGTCACATTACTCACTTTAAATGACGAAATATTCTGACAACAGGAAATTATCACTGTTGAGTCTCTTACATCCCGATATGGGACGCCTATTTTGACAAAATTAAATGCGACACGAAATATTTGTCACATTACTCACTTTAAATGACGACTTATTCTGACCAATTTTATTTTTGTCACATTAGGCAAACCAAATATGACATATATCATTTTAGTCATATCATCGTACCTATTGTGATAAACAGAAAATGACAAAATAAAATTTTTGTCCTAATAGGCCGAATTTGTTGTAGTGTTTTATTATACTTCAATGATGAATTACAACGCAATTGAATAGTACTTAAATAGATAGCTAGGTTAACAACGACTAAGAAACCTCCTAATTCCAATAGAACTCCAAAAAAATTATGCTTAAACGTAGAAGGAATAAAAATCCAAATCAAACAAGGAAAGAATTCTGCCTTCAGCTCCAAGTCACTAAACAACCTTTGAGGCAATCTTTGAGGCTTTCGATCGATGACTTCTAGATACGAAATAAATCATCCAATGGCTCTTCTATGTAGATTAACATGCATACTTTTATGTAGTATGAAGCTCCTATCTTGATTCGAAATCATCTTCTTGGAATAGAGCTTCAAAGTAGCCTTCCTAATCATAGTTTTATACTTAGGCAGATTCTGACAGTTTTCCTGTGTTGAGGAAGCATTTTGTCGATCCTTGAAAATGGTCTTCTGAGTTCCTTCTTGAGCTCCCAGACAGCCCAGCTTGTAGAGGAGAACTCTAGATTCAAAACAAGATCTCAAACTCACATTTCCATGAACCCAATTGGAAGAACCAAGCCCCCAAAGTAGACCACATGAACTCATCAATATACTTAGCCAAAAATCCAGATTGTTCAAATGAGTTGGGGAAGCTTATTGGACAAGTAATTCTAGCTTGGAAATAAAGCAATACAGGGTTGTATCAGGCTCCCCGTCTTGAAAAAGCTTTGACCTCAAAGCTTGTGCCTTCCTCTTCTCAAATTCGTCACAGAACTACTCCCAAATCGGATAGAAAGAAGGCTGCTCAAACTCCAATTTATGCAAAACTAAGACAGTATTCTTGAGCAACAAAATTAGGGCTTTTTGATTCAGGGACGTCCATGCCAATTCATGGCTTCCACGAGCTTTGCCATGCCCCCTATCGATTTTCTAAACCAGCATTGTGTCTCGACTCGTCGCCATTCACGTAAATCCAGCTCCTCTTCCTTTCTCGCCAACGCCAGCTTTTAAAAATGACCCACCCAGAAATTTTGAGGTTGATTTGGGCGTTTCTATTCCAGCCACCTCCGGATCAAATTAATCAACTCTACAACATCCCAAAGATGGTTTCAATGACTCTGTAGTGTCCATTGTTGCCGATTCATGCCCAAACGTCCCACCTCGTTCGCGCGAATTTCCTTCTTCTTTGTGCGCGTCCAGAGGCATATGAACTCGAATTCGATCTTGGGAATTAGGCATGTTCGAGTCGATTCCTCCTTCGCAGGAGATTTCTAGATTGCCTTGGAAGGTGTCGCCTGGAAGGGAGGGTCACCCTGGCCTTGTCTGTCTTGAATGCTATCCCAACATATGCTATGCTAATCACCTCCATCCCTATTACTGTCTGTGATTTAATTGATAAAAAGATTAGGGGCTTTGTGTGGGATTCAATGGAGGGAAAAAGAAAACCCCATCTGGTTTCATGGGAGAGAATCTGTATGCCTAAAAAACTATGAGGGCTAGGACTTAGGTTTGCTCATACTCTCAATAAACCATATATGATTAAACTCGCATGGCAGATGATTAACAATGAGGAGGAGCTTTCGGTGCAGATGCTGCAGGGAAAGTACTATAAGCACAAGAATGGGGAAATCATGTCAATGAAGAGAACCGACCATTCAAGCCTTTGGAGAGCTGTGGTCAAAGCCATGCCACTGATGAAGGAGGCCTCATGCTGGAGCATTAGAAATGGAGAGTCAACCAGCTTTTGGAGACATCCATGGTGTTGATGTGACTTGAATCGGACTACAAGCTGCTACGACTGGATTAGTTGGGTTCGGGTTCTGGGCCTGGTCTGTAACTGTTTCCTTTGCCAGATTGGATTAGGTTTAGACCCACATGGAGAAGTACTATAAATACTTCTCATACTCCTCTGTAATCTGTAATCTCCTCGATATAGTGAAACTGGCTCTCTCTCGCCCATGGACTAGCTAACACACATCGTGTTAGTGAACCACGTAAATCGTGTGTCGTGTTTTCTATTCTCGCTTTCGTATTCTTGCTTTGTCGATTCTGGCGATTTCCCAATCTGTAGCAGCGCGTTTATAATACATGGATTGAAAATGGAATGATCCTTGAGGAGTTTCTGACAAGAGAAATCACAAAAGAGGAGATTCAATCCCCAGTGGCTAGCTGGATCACAGAAGGAGGTGAGTGGGATTGGGATAGGCTGAATGATCTCCTTCCTAATGACAAACTTTTGTTGATTGCAAGCATGGAGAAACCTAGACATGAACTAGGAGATGACAAGATGATCTAGGGAGTTGAGCGAGATGGGAGGTTTCGACTCAAGTCCGCATACTACCTTACTCCAAACATGGACGGAGAAAGAGAAGAAATCAGCTGGAAAGCTTTATGGAGGTGGAAAGGACCAAGCAGAATCAAGCATTTTCTGTGGCTGGTTCTACATGACAGACTCTTCACCAATAAGGAATGAGCAAGAAGGACGATTACCACTGACAGTAGTTGCAGTCATTGCAAGGAAAATGATGAAATTGTTGACCATATCCTCAGAAAATGTGGGAAAGCAACTAAAACCAGGGAGAGATTTCGATACAAGTTGGCCAACAGGAACATGAATGGAGGCTTCCAAGACTGGCTCCTTGATAATCTTCTCATGAAGAGAATGGAGTCGACTTTGGTGTCATATGCTGGAACTTGTGGAAGCAGAGGAATGAGAAAACCATGAATGGACAAATTTTCAATGAAAAAGGCCTCTATTGCAGGATTGATGCTTGGTTGACTGTCATTTTCCAAGCCAAGCATAGAGATACTTTTGACTGTTGGAAGCTACCAAGACAGTACCAGATTGCGAGCATCACATGGAAACCACCTAATGATGGATGGATTTAGATCCAGATGAATGGTTCTGTCATCCAACCCTCAGGAAGAGCTGCTGCATGTGGTCTCCTTCGTGACCACCTGGGAAGATGCCTGGACGCCTTTACCTGCAACCTTGGAATGTGTACCATTCAAGTGCAGAGCTTAAAGGTGCGATCGAGGGCTTAAAGATTGATTGGGAAAGAGGGCACAGAAAAGTCTGCCTTAACATGGACTCTACTACGACAATTGGCAATGCCAAGAAACTGCCTTGATGATGACCACAGACATGGGATTCTCCTTAACCATGATTGGGAGGTTAGAATTGATCATGTGTTTAGAGAGGCTAACTTTGCTGCTGATTTTTTAGCTAGTATGGGTCACTATGTAAATTTTGGCACACACCACCTCAATGTGTGCGACCCGAACCTCAGACATTGGCTGTTACACGACATCATGGGCATTGCACAAGATCGTGCCATTATTAATACGAATCAAACGCTAAGACGTCAATCTTTCTACAACAAAAAAAAAAGGATGGTGGTGATGTTAAAGTTGTTAGTGTTGTGGTATATGATCCACGATTGAACCTCTTCCAACAACTCGAGTTATTGGGAGCAACTTGTTCTTGACATGGTATCAGAGCCTTCTGTGACCGAGAGGTCTTGTGTTCGATTCCCGGTGACCCCCATTTGTTAAGCACATGGTATTCTTGTCTTCAGACGTGTGCAAACTTCAAGCCCTTGTGAGTGGCTTTTGTTTGAGGGGGCGTGTTAGTGTTGTGGTATATGATCCACGATTGAACCTCTTCCAACAACTCGAGTTATTGGGAGCAACTGGTTCTTGACAAAAGTAATAAAAAATATATTTCTTTTAATTTTTTTATTGTCATTTCATCTATTAACGACCAATTTCTATTGTGAACCACTATATCGAAAAAGTTTAACCCCCTATTTTTCTACAAGGGAAAAGGAGGGGAGGGGAAGGCAGGGAGGGGAAGTGTAGTTCCCGATACATTTTCTTGCGTTCTCCAACAGATGTACAGTAACAGGGGAAGGGAATTTAGAGGGAAAAGTTACTGTATGGGGTGCACCTCCGAATTGGAGAGAAAGCCCACTCTCTTTCTTCTGTTCCCTTTCTGCTTTTTATCTTTGTTTTTCAATAAAGCCTCGTAAAAATTAAAAAATTAAAATATAAATGGCAATTGCAGGTTTTAGCGGATTAAGGTAAAGAAGAATAGGAAGGAAGTTGTCAGGGTGGATTGAGCATTTATTTTTTTCATTTTTAATTACAAATATTTTCCTGTTATGACATGTTCGTTAAATGGTATTTTATGTAGACATGTTCCATACGATAAATTTGATAAACTTGAAATTTACAGCAAGAATGCAACATGTTTATCTACTTATTTGATATTTAGACCAGATCGAACCGAACCAAATGGGTGATTAACGTCATGCATAGTGTTGTCTTGCGCGATGCATAAAATTGTTACGTGAGATATAAAAGTTTGTTACATTCATAGTAAAAACGATATCTGAGTGTGAAATTTTTACAAAATGGATGTCATTTTGTACAGTAGAGCTAATCCAATCTATATGGGAAATTTTTAAATCGACGAGCCCGCATGAGTCGCACATAACGTTGTTTTACACAATTACGTGGAACGTAAATGTGTGTTAAGTTTCAAGTAAGACGACATCAGAGTGTTACATTTGTTATAGAATGGACGTCATCTTGCACTACAAGGTAATCAAATTTTTATGCAAAATAAAATCGAGTTAAATGAACAATATATATTCCGTTAACAAATAATAAAAATGATCAAGATTATATAGATTTTGGTTATTCATAATATTCATCTTTCACCTTTTTTGCACATATTTATACTTTCATAATCAATAAAATAACATATCTATCACACTTCCCTATATACTTTTCCCTCCTAATATCCCTTCCACTTTCATCCATAAAACAACATTTTCTCTCCAATTCCCTTCCCCTCCAATTTTCCTTCCACACCAGATTTTCCCTCCCCTCCCCTCCTTCGGAAACAAGAGGTAAAACAACATTTTCTCTCCAATTCCTTTCCCCTTCATTTTTCCTTCCACACCAAAATTTCCCTCCCCTCCCCTCCTTCGGAAATAGGGGGTAACGAAAGTGGATAGTTAGTGACCAATGGTAGGATAATATTAAAAGTGAATGACTAATAATAAAGGAAAATATTTTCGGTGACAAACATGAAAAATATTGATAACTGAGGAGAAACGAAGACTACTCATATCTTACCAGAGCTCTAATCAATATTCTACCCAGAATCAAGAGTTGTTCCAGGTTTTGAAATAGTGATTACAGTTTATATTTTAAAAAGGAGCACTTCTACTATGCTATATAGCATTGGTGCTTTAATGTACAACTCAAAGTTGTACCATAACATTAAATGTATAAGTTTAGATTGTACCATAAAGCAATTTGTACAATTATGTTATGGTACAACTTTACATCTTGAAGTTGTACCATCACATAAAGGTATAAGTTTAAGTTGTACCATAAAAAAATTTGTACAAAAAGTATAGGTACAATATGAAGTTGTAGCATAACGTAAATGTATAATTTTAAGTTGTACCATAAAGACAAAAACCTATAGCACCAATACTATATAGCATTGTAAAATCTGGTTCAAGGTTTTTCTGTTCAATCGGCTCCGACCGCCATGAATTGGAAGTCATGGTTTCGAGCTCGCAGCTCAAGCAATGATTCAGTGCCCCAACAATCAAACCAAGACGAAGAGCTTCATGGAGTTACCCAGCAGTTGATAGATCGAGTCAAGTCTTTCACGCTCGATGACTTCAGGAATTTTCCACTACGTGGTACGTCAATTATCTTCCTGGTTTTGGAAATCTTCCTGGAATTCATCATACATGGATTGATATGGGATTCCCCTTTTTCCCCCTTTGCCTGGATAAAGATGACGAAACCACAGAAGCTTCCTTTGGCGACGAGATGGCAGCAGCTGCTTCCGCTAGCGTTCGAAGGGATCTCTCTGAGTGGCAGGAGAGACATGGTACCCTAATTCTTGCCAAAGTCAAGGTATTGATCCGTTTGCTATTCGAATTGATTATCACTTTATTGTATTTTTGGTTTTAATCTAATCTATTCTTTGGCCCAGTCTCTTCTCCGAGGAATTGTAGAGTAATGATTGGTTCATAGCTGCTGCTGTGTCTAGATGTAATCTAACACTCAACGAATTTGTGATAGCTACGGTTCTGCTTAAGGGAGTTTGCTTCTCTACTAATTTGCCAAGTGCATATAATTTGGTCTCTTCAATCAGGAGACTTCATATCAGTGCTTGGAAGTTGGCAATTTTAGAGTCTAATGTATATAAGTTGGTCTCTTCAATCATGGTACCCTAATTCCTGGTCTTACTGCTCAATGTGTTTGAAATACTTGAGAAGCTTGTTTCCTAAGGACTTGTAGTTTATTGATAGTGCGGACTTCTCTTGTCTAGGTGGGCATAAGCTTCTCTATTATCTGTCGAGCACAGTGGGACTGGGTTGGAACCTTTGTGGAATTTGTGTACTCTTTGGTTGTATTTATTGATTATGCCGAAAGAACAGACTATGGATCGTAGCAGCTACATGCACCCGGGATGAACAAAATGCCAAGGAGTTGGGTTTGCCAGTTGATTTGCCTTTCAACTTCTGATATCTGTGATATGATGCGTGTTCTTGGGTACTGGTAGACTGCCTGGGATCTGTGCGTTGGTTGTTCTTGGATGTTACATTTCAATTGCCCACTTACAGTTACAGTGATCAATCATAACCTATCATCCAACCTTGTTTTCTTTCTTCGTCTCAGGAACTTGCACAGTTAAGATTTAAGTTATCCCCTGGCCACTTGAAAGAGCGAGATTTTTGGAGGATCTATTTCACACTTGTCAAGGCCGACATAGCTGAGTAAGTGCTATATAATCTTCAATATCCTACTCAAAATAGCTAGAAAGGGTTCTCTCGAAGTTATATGCTTCATGGTGCTGCATACATTTGAGTTCTTTAGGTGTTTGTCAGCCGTATTTTTATTCCTCTCTGCTCACGGCCCATTATCTGTAATGCATGGAACAAGAAGGTAAAGTATTGTTGTCAGATCACGAGGCCGAAGGAAATAATGCATAATCTAACTGAAATTAGTGAGCTGCTGGATACTGAGATTTTAAACTAGAAGATATAAGCTTTTTTGTTTGCTTTTGTGCAATTTGTCCGAGTTTTGTGCGACAGACAACTCTAAGATTGAATTGGTTCCTTGTGTGAAATCCATAGAGGACATGTATTCCTCCTGTGTTCAAGGGCCTCAACATCTTGTTAAGAATGTGTGTGGTAGAATAAGGCTAGATTTATGAGTCATCGAATGAGGGACAGTTGTGTCTAAGATCGGATGTATGTTGGCTGCCAGGTATGAGCTACGGGCGATCCAACTAGCTAAACTTCGGAAGATGGCAGTTGAGGATGGAAAATCTTCAGTCTCCAGCAAAATTGAAGTTGAAATGGCGGAGACAGTACAACGAACAAGTTTACAACCGTCAACTCCATGAGAGAGATCACATGTTGTTTGTTACCAGGAACAGGAAGAATATGTTACATCAAACTGATGATTTTCCAAGGGAGCCTGGCTTGAAGAGTAACTGTTTGCTTGTAACTGAGATAGCACGCATGTTGCCAGCTTTCTTTCCTTTGCATCCAATGCTGGTTCGATTAGAAAAAGGACTCTTTGTTAGCAACTGCCATTGAATATGAACTCTGACCGAGAAGAGCATCAAGATGCCCAGCAGAAACCAGCAAAATGCGCTGGTTGTCTTTGGTTGAATGTGAATTAAATATTGTTCTGAGTAAATGTAAGAAAGAAAGGAAAAACAACCACTGCAACACTATTTGTTTTCTTACTCCTTTTCACCAGCAATGGCGCGGGTTTTAGGGATGGTTTTCCTCAACCATCCTATAACCGGTATCAGTCAAACGACTTTCAAATTTGGTAGAGTGTAGTATAGAACGCCTTGATCAGTTCTAGATCAGTTATTGAGAAAGAATACGTCTCTCTAGGCAACCGACTCAAGAGGGCTTTGATTTTTTTAGTCGATATTCAAGGTCTAGACAATGACTTTTCGCATTGTGAATGAAAGTGGATCAAGTTAGGGATCAATGATCATTAATTTGGCTAATGACTAGGGGAAATTATGCCTAAGTGAGTTCTCAACTTTTAATTAGTAGTCTAATCTAGTTTTAGGCTGTAGAGTAGTTTAGTTAATCAAACATCAATATGATATACTAGATAAATGAAGTTGAGTAATAGTAACTCTAGAGACCCGTGGATTCGATATTTATTACTTGTGTCACTATATTGCAGTCTCTTTCATGGTTAGATTTGGCCTTGTTAGGAGTTGAATGTCCAATGAAACCCAGCTCAAATTGAGCCTTTTTGGATAAATGAGGTTTCCTCTCTAAACTAGCTTAGAAGGCATGCAATGCCCAAGAACACCCATCTCAAATTGAGCCTCTTAACCTAAGGAGGTCTCCTCTCTAAGCTAGGTTAGAATG